CAATGCCAGCATGTGCTCCAGGTGGGCATCGTATTATGTGGTTCCGTGCCGGGGTTACGTCACGTGAATTACTACTGAGAAAAACCAATAGTAATAATAATAATAATAATAATAATAATAATAATAATAATAATAATAATAATAATGATAATAATAAAAATAATAACGAAGGCTGAAGAGACTTGAACATGCCTAAAAACGAAACCCATTGCAGTTTCTTCGAAATTCTGATAAAATTAGTGGAGTACTCACAATCTTGGTAAGCTGTACAGGGAGCGCGTCAGTGAAGGAGAGAAAGAAAAGACGGGGTGGAGAGGTAATTGATTCTTTCCATTTCCCTCTCTCTTTTCCCTTTTCTCTTTTTAATACTCATTCCTTCTTTCTTTATCCCCCCCCCCCCCCTCGTCCTTCTCTCGCGCTCTCTCTCTCTCTGTCTCTCTCTCTGTCTCTCTCTCTCTCTCTCTCTGTCTCTTTGTCTCTCTGTCTCTCTGTCTCTCTGTCTCTCTGTCTCTCTGTCTCTGTCTCTATGTCTCTCTGTCTCTCTGTCTCTCTCTCTCTCTGTCTGTCTCTCTCTCTCTCTCTCTCTCTCTCTCTCTCTCTCTCTCTCTCTCTCTTGTACACAAATAACAATCCTCTCCTTTCCATAAGCAGGTATCTAAAAAATACCATTCATGAATAGCACAATTGTTGACTAGTAAAAGATTCTGTGTTACATTTCACAATGCATGTGTTCTTCATTGTGTCAAAAAGGAAGCCCGCGTCTAAAAAGCAACAAGCAAACAGAAAAAAGCTAGCTAATCCCAAAATAGAATTGACCATGCTTCACTGACAGTCCCTTTCCTGTAGGACATCTTGCTTTTATCACCGCTGTCAAGACTTAAGAAAGCCTTTTTATTCTAGGAGTTTCAGCAAGTTTTGGTGCGGAAATACTCGATGAAATCGTGTTTCTAATATGGAATCGAACCCGCGTCTTCCGTGTGCAGCACAAAATGCCTGGCTAATCTTTTTAATCTCAAATGATCGGACCTGAATCGGATTTTTAAACTTTCAACTGTCGGCATCATCGTGCTTGCTACAAATCACCTACCTCAGCTAACGAAAGTGGATCTTCTTTTGTTTGGTTTTAGTGTCTCAGTGATGCCACGGTCCAGAGGCAGGGCCGGTTACTCTTGGGTGGAAGACCGGGATGAAAAAAAAAAGAAATCTACTCACAACCTACTCAGATTTTATCCTGAAAATTTCACCTGTGGAGAAATGTGATTCAGGGTTTAAAGTGTTAATCTTATCGCTCTATTGTTTTGAATAAAGTAGGACTATGATCACACTGTTTCCAGTTTTGGGGTAGCTTTTACTTCACCTTTCTTGCGTTATTCTCTTGAAATAAAAGTTATCATTAGTTCAAACTACATTCTTATTCTATTTTCACATTGTTTTTATAGCAAAATGGATTTTTGGTATAGTGAAATGGCAGATACGGAAAAAGAAGCACATTGCCTTCAGCTGCCTGTGGTTGTAACAACGCGAAGGCATTTTTGGCGGTGTTTTTTGGCGCTATTTTTAAGGGCTATGGGATTTGAGTGGAGCGATATTTCGTAGGCTGCTTTTAGTATACCTTTGAAAATTGGCTTCGGTGTGGACAATTGAGGTAGTTGCAACTTGTAAGAGGCTTAAATAAAAAAAAATATTACTAAGTTCTATGGGCCTCAAATGGAATGATTTTGTAGGAAATTTCGGTGTTTTAGCAAGTCATATGTCCGGGATATTTCGCTTATTACAAACGTTATAAAAATCCTCTAGTAGGTAGCAACGACCTTATACAAAGTTTAGGTTTTAAAATTAATTATTAACTCTGTACCTGTACAAATAACAAATTTACGCACGCACAGAAGTAACATTTTATAGAGGGCCATGACACCCAAATGTGTAAAAATTTGCCCGGAGCGCAGAACTAAAGTACATCTGACTACCTGAAAAACGTTCTAGACTCTCAAAATTTTAATTAAATAAAACTATTAAATGATTGCCACGTCTGTGAAAAACGGATTTTGAAAACAGCGTGCCTGCCTTCTCTTTCAGGAAGATTTGACGTTCTAAAAATGAAATAATGAAACAAACAGGTGAGTAGCCACCAACAAAAATTGGGAAAAACTTAAGAGAAGCATATTATTTTGAACTGAGAAACTGCGTAAACAAGAGGGACCAGCTCAAAAACTTAGGATCATAGAGGGAACCTTAGATCTAATGACGGAGAGGAAGAAAGCGAAAATTTACCCACATTAAAAAGACAGACAAATCAATTAATCTAAAAAAGCAAAGAAACTAAAAAAACCCTGGTAGAAGGCAAATGTACTGAGATAAACACAGACGAATATATCGAACAACTCGACTTATATGTTTTGAAAATTTAGTTTAGTTAGTTTTAGTAGAAGTTTTACTTCTCTTGCAACTGCATAAGGTCATATGACCGCCAGAGAGTTAAAGGTGTTACAAGAGAGTAACAAACATACAAATTAAAAAGGGGGCCAATCTGTATTGAGAGGGATGAAAGATCCTTGTGGAAAAACAAAGATACTCCATAAAACAAATTTCTCTCCACCCTGGAACGGAACTTGGGTCTCTTGCGTACGACAGCGAAGCTCTTAACTGCTAGACCACAGGCTCTGGTGTCGAGTATTCACGACAACGTTAGAGAACTCACTGGCAAAAAGCACAACGAGAGGTCGACAGAGGGTGTAGAAAACAGAAGTTTGTGGAAGACTAGCAGAATATGTGGGATGATTATTTGAAACGGAAGGTAAAAGGGTACCTCTCCTACAATTAAATAACGCACATGGGCAAAGGTAAAGTTGGCACTTTAAAAATCACAGAAGAAATAGCCCTGTGCGAAGAAGTCATAAAAACAAAAATGCTGAAATGCTGACTCACTTAGCCTTATATTAATTTGGCCATTGACACTCTAACATAGAATCTATGACTTGGAAATAAACCAGAGGAACTAATTCAATCAGTTTATGTCATTCAGCTTTGTAATGATTTTGTGACCAGTCTTCACTAATAACACTTTAAAAAATCATTGGGGGCTCTCGTGGTCTAGATGATAAGGTGTTCGCCATTTATTCAACAGGTCCCGGGTTCGAATTTGGAAAGCGACGGAAAATTTTCTTCTCTATAATTTTCTCCTGACTCTTTCTGCAGCCTTTCCACTGTTACTCATTGCCTCCTTCTTTCTGCTGTTTTTCAGCCACACTTCTAATGTTATGGTAGGAAAGATGTACACCTAACTCTCTCAGTCAAGAAAGTAAAATCTCCGAGGTCTCGTGAGCAAGTTGCGCACGTTAAAGATCCTTTGGATGTCCAAAATTGATTAAAGTAGGCTTCAACTGCCACCAGGGAAAAATTCAAAATTTCCTCCCATCTGAAAATGTTTTATGTGTCCCGCGCGCTCATATGACGTTATGCAGTTTAGAGCGCCGTAAAACACTTAACCCCAGCAACCCCCCCCCCCCCCCAACTAGAACAACAAAGCAACAACAACAACAACAACAAATCACTCACAGCTGCCTCGCGGGACTTTTTGTTCTCAAAGTTAAACAGGTTGCTTGGACGTCTTCTGACGGTCACAGATGTAAACTAAACAAATGTGCATTTCTGTCCTTATTTAATAAAGTGCATAACAACTAGTACAGCACAATTCGCGACCCTATTCCCCCCCCCCCCCCAAACCCCAAGGAAAAACAAACAAACAACAGAGACAAACTAAAAAAAAACAACTAAAAACAAAACAAACCACCCGTTCTTCGGAGAGATCGTTTATAACTCGTAACAAATCTCCACTGAACCCGAATCATCGCTTATTTATTTGAAATCAACAATTTCTGTCTCGGGCAAGGAGTTTCGACTCTCTGAATCTAGAGTAATTTAAAGAGTATCTGTAATTTTTATGCAATCTACGTCTGTGAGAGTGTGCTTTTAAATAATATTGTACTCTGTCGTCTCTAGATATACTGTCTACCTTTCGTAAAAACGTTTACGAGATTATATTATTTTAGTCGCGTTTCTCGGGTTTTTTCAAATTTTGGTTCGAACTTTGATATCCAATGTTTTCCACATTTTCAAATTTATTTTTCTTTTTTTGAACAACATAAATTTTACGTTGATGCTCACATACAGATTTTCCTCTGTTCACAAATAGAGTTGTTACCTTGTGCCATGAGGCTATTAACTCTCGGATCTATGTCAGTTTCTCACAGACGAGAAGAAAGTAGCGTTTGTTACGGATAATCAGTTTTTCGTTGAGATTACTCAATTACATATCCTTTGTTCACAGTCAAAATAAAAAAGAAGCAATACAGATTAAGTATTTACTGTGACCGGATAATGCCCCTCTGACTGATACTTCAAAGAAGAGTAATTCTAGATTTATCCACATTTCTAGTTTTTAAAAAAGTAGATCTGAACTCAGAAAACCACCAGGACCAATTCTGAAGAATGAAAAAACTCCATATCTCCCCGGTCAATGAGAAAATATGATGTTATTATATTTTCACAGCCCATAAAGCAGTGGAGGCGGCTCTTTGTCAACATTGATTTCATCTGTGCTGATGTTCTGGAAACTTTAAACTTAACGTGCCACAGACTTCAGATCAACATTAAGATCACGAGACCGTCTTTAAAGTATCTGTTTCTAACAAAGCTGCCTCTATTCACAGACCAGCACGGTAGTGATATTTTCATTTGCACCTATACATGTTGACTTTGTAATTATATTTATTGAAAGTCATACAACTCAAACTGAGACAAAGTTTAACATAATAATGATTTTCGCCCTTCTAGAACCATAGAGACGCATTCATAATCTATAGTTGGAGCGTTTTAGAGATTCCCCTGCCATTTTGTCCAGTCGGACTATTTCTCATTAACCTCACGGTCTACGCATCACTGAGTCACTGCACCTCTGCTATTTCAAGTTCATCAAGATGTTTTCAAACGCAACTTGGCCAATGACTAGCTCCAGTATTATACTTGGTAACGATGCATTCGACATAATCCAACCTATTGTCGTGTACGGCTTGTCTTTTCCCATAAGCGTCATTGGACTTGTGTTTAACGTCATCAACACAGCGGTGTTTCTCAAAATTGGGGTCAACGATTCCGTGTCCGTGTCACTGGTGGCGTTATTCGTCGCTGATTTTGTGTTCTTGCTGCTCCAGGCATATCGCCCTATAGCACAAATGCTCATGAAGTTAGGACTGACTCACACCTGGTCCGTACACCCAACACAAATAGCAACCTTTGCCTCGTCTTACATATCCATATTTTATCTCATTTCCACACTGTTGACCACATACATAGCCCTTGCTAGGTGTCTGTGTGTGGCTTTAGCATTCAGATTTCAGCGTATCTTCACCGTAAACCAAGCTCGTATTGTAGTTGTGTCTGTGTATATCGGAGCTTTGCTGTCTCACATACCTCCGATTCTCAGTCAGAGATTAGTTTGGCGGTCAAAAGTAAACACACCAAAAGCCATCCTCGTTGTGGAAAGAGTAGATCACGATACGTTTGAGTCGTTTTCGAAGCTTCACAACATCGTTAACCGGACTTTACTACCTTACTCCTGCCTCGCAATCTGCATCCTGTGCCTCATCGTCTTAACAGTTAAACTGAGGTCAGTCTCACAGTTCCGCGCTAACGCAACCAGATCAGCCTCGAAGCCAGACCCAAGACTTTCACATGGTAAACATGAATTAGACAATAATGCTGAGAAAGAACAGATCACCAGCTCTTCTCCATCAGCGCTCAGCATCAAAGAGATACAGCTCATCAAGGCGGTGTTTCTTCTCTGCGCTATCTTCGTCTGTAGCGCCTCTTTGAGGGCCGCCCTTGGGATAGCTGTGGTGTGGATGCCCCAACTTGAAACAGAGCCGAGATACCGCAGTCTTTACGCCATCTGTATGGAAATCATTGGAGCTTTCATGGTTGTGAATTGTGCAGTTAACTTTATCATATTCTACCATTACAATACTTCCTTTAGACAGACTCTGACTTCTCTTACAAAGCGCAGCGTGAAAAAATAGATTTAAATAGCCCAACAGTTAGGAATTTGAAAGAGAGAAAAGGTGCAGTAGCTGATGATATCGGTAGATTTGTTTGTATTAATTTTATCAACAAAATATTAATATGTGATAAAAGCTATTCTTTTGATGCGGAAAAAATCAGTCTCACATTGTCTTTCAACAAGATGCTTCTTATTTCAATGTTGTCATATTTTTTAAAATTGTATGTGTTTAAGTTCAACCTGTAATCGTGCCAGAACGGATTTACTATCCAGAAAAACGTCTTGTTTTCAAAATAATTTGATTTCTTAAATTTTTGTCAGGGATTGGTAGATGTGTTACTTTGCTATTAGTTTGTTTGGTTGTAACCGTAATGAACTTTATTTCTGGAAAAGCTGCTAGCGCGAAGTTTACATCTGTACGCTAGGCTACATAATATATATCTGTAACACAATTTTGAGTCTTTGTAAATGTTGACTACCTTATCAACACTATTTGGAGCTTTTTCGAGGTTGGGTGGCTGCTTGCCTCTTTAACAAAGGACTTACAGTAGCACCTCTGTACTAGGAGTCGAAGATCATACTTTGGTAAACGATTCCCATCGTATTTGCCCTTGTGCACACACCCAGCATCTATACTCTCCATAGGGACAAATTGTGAACGAGAGACGCTTTTAACTTATTAAAGATACAGTTTAAGGTGGAGGTTGTTACTCACTTTTACGGACCACAGATGGCTAAATCTAAAATTAAATACGTGAGTATCTATTCCTGTTTTACGTTTTGAAAGAGATGAAATCTTCAGTAGACATTGCGCCAAGGAGTTCTCGAAGACTAAAGGATGACAAAATAATTCTCTTCCATCGTATTTCTTCCATTTTCTGTGTACTGTTTATAACAAGTTTTTATTTTTTGATGTTGTAGATACTCGTATATTAAGACAGGATTTTACTTACTAAGGTTAAAGCTATGCTGTCGTCAGTGACGTTCTCTCAATCTCATTTTTTTGGTAAGTGTTTTACGGCGCTCGCAGCTGCATGAGGTCATATGAGCGTGCAGGACACATTCAACTTTTTCACTTGGTAGGGAATTTTGAATTTTGTACGGGTGGCGGCCGAAGCATACCCTTATCGATTTTTAGACCACTAAGGGATCTTTAACTTGCGCAACTTTCACACGGGCCCTCCGAGATTTTTCGCCTTTGTCCGAGAAAGCTAGGTGTAGATCTTTCCTACCAGAAGATCAGGGGTGTGGATGAAAGACAGCAGTAAGAAGGAGCCAAGGAGTTGCAGTAGAAATGTTGCAGAAAGAGTCAGGGGTCCAGAGGAGGGGGCAAAGGAGGTGAGGGAGTGGGGGCAGAAAGAGGAGACGAAAGCAGACGACAGAACATTGCTAGAGAGCAGGAAAGAAGGTGAAAGGAGACAATTCTAGAGAAGATAATTGTTCGTTCGCTACTCGGATTCAAACCCGGAACTTTTGAGAGAGAGGCCAGCACCTTAACCATGGCCTTCGTTATAACATGAGTATCACGACGGCCATGCCTTAACCTCTAGGCCACGAGAGCCCTCCTCTCGATCTCAGTTCACGCAACACGGAATGAGTTTGTATAGTAATATACTAATATATTCTACAGTCAGTAATCTCTCTCGCTCTCTCTCTCTCTCTCTCTCTCTCTCTCTCTCTCTCTCTCTCTCTCTCTCTTTCTCCCCTCTATCCTTTTCTCTGTCCTCCTCTACTTTCTTTTCTCTCTCATTCTCTCTTACTATTCGTGTATGTGTGCGTGCGTGTGTGTGTGTGTGTGTGTGTGTGTGTGTGTGTGTGTGTGTGTGTGTGTGTATTTGTGTGTACACATACTCACACACACTCACACACTCACACATACCCAAAACACACAAACATACACTCATAAACACACACACACACACACACACACACACACACACACACACACACACACGTACACACACAACACACACACAAACACACACACACATACACACACAAACACACACACCTCTTTGTTGTCTTTGTCTCTCACACTTTCTTTCTCTCTCTCTTTTTTCCCACTTCATACTCTTTCTAAAAAATCTTTCTCTGTACCTTCTTTTCTCCCTGTCTCCCTTTTTCCTTTTCTCTCTCGTTCTGTTTTCTCTCTCCATTACTTTCTATGTTTTTACTCCTTAAATTGAAACAAAACATTAACACCCGTGACAAAAATCACAAACAAAAAGATGACTTACAGGTTTACATAATAAATACATGAGATGGGACGATGTAACGTTTAGATTATGTTGACATATTCACAGGTCGCAAGAAGAATGAACTAAGAGGTCTTAAACAAAGTTTGGATATAACTGTGAATAATTTACAATGCACTGTCAGATTAGTGCGCAGAATTACTTTATTGTGCTGGAGAGCAAATTGGATGGCACAAGTTCAAATCTCAGATAGATAATTATTTAATTTGGGTTGTCTATGATGTTTTTTGTTTCTCTACCCTTGCGCATCAATGCTATCGAAGATGGACGCTAATATCTCTTTGGCTATAATTGTAACTGTGTTGAATCAGGTTTTGAAATGTTATAAGCTTGCCATTATGGGCCCCATCATGTCAGTATTTTAGTATGTACACAGCTTCTAACTTAATTCTTTTTTTTCTATTCTTCCGTTCAGAGTAAAATTAAGTTCTGCAACTCCCAGGACTGCTTGTGGGAGCGGGGGGAGTGGGAGAGGGGGGGGGGGGGTTAATCATAGGGAATAAATGCTATACCCCCCAAAAAAACCCTAATAAATCATAATAAAAAAAAACTAACGAATATGCCAAATGATTGTTATACATATTATTTTTTTCATTATTCCATCATAAAGATAAAGATATTATTATACCTACTCACTCAAATGTCAATGATTATCTTATAATATGAAAGAGATCATTAACTTAACTCCCGATAAATGGATACGAGACAAATGAATTTATTAAAAGAAATGGAAGACACCCCCTCCCCCAAGCTCCGCCTTATTCTTATAAAAAGTTAATTAAAAGTGTCATTCATGCGTGACGTCATGGTGCCCTAAATGTAGCCCCACGTTTAGTGGAGATCTCGGATGTGTGTATTAGGTCAAGTGAACTCCAAAAAAGGGTCGAAATGAACTTCTTTCTTTTTCAGTGACCAATTCACTGATTCACCAAACTCTCCGGTCTCAAACTGTTCGATTTGTGCTCAGTACGACGACAAAAACCGTGAAAAACAACACATTATCTGGTTTATTTAAACAAACGAGAAAGTTCTATCACACACACACACACATACATATACACACAATCACCTCACGTCAAATTTCTCAAAACTAGGTACTGAGCAGATATAACTTCTAAGGTGGCGATATGAGAGTTAGATAATACAACAATGTCTGCTCATGGCGTCCACCCTCAGCTCTCCGCCCCCAAGGCTGCTCAGTAATTATGTATTGTGCACAAGTCAGCAACAAAACCGCCTGAGGCAATATAAGAAAACAACGAAGAGATGTAAAGTGATAAAATATAACAATGTCTACTCATGGCTTCTATTTTGTCCCTCACGAACGGAACAAACTTGAACATATCAACATCGAAACGTTTACATAATCAACGAATCACTGCCTGCTTCCCTTTCATGATTTGGGAACCTCTTCGCAGTCAAATTCACTCATAGACACAGGCCTAAAATTTGCACGAACGGGAGCAGTGAGCAAAACACAAGAAAAGTTAGTGTTTCATTGCCATTTCATTTTTTAAAGACCCCCCCTCCCACGCCTTTTCTCTTTTAGGCCATTCTCATAAGCAGTCACAAGCACTGATTATGTAAGCTTAATGTAGACTGGTCGATTCAATCTTAAGAGTGGGGGGGGGCTCGTTTATAAACCTATCTCGGTAACTATGGCCTTTTTAGATAAAGCCTTATGCAAGGAGGTATAACAGGAAAACATATTATGTAAAACGTAACTTTATTTTTTATTGTTTAAGTCTACAGTTGTCATGGTAACGGCCACCATATTGAAAATATATAGCTTTCATAAATTAAAAAGGATTGTTTATTTACCAACCAAATTTGGTACATTGATTGACATGCTCAAACCTAAATTTCATACAGTTGGGATCTTGGATATCTTGAATAGCAAAAAAACTTAGAGATAGATAACTCACCTACCCCCTCATGCATCTGAATTCGATTACATATTCATCCATGTAACTCACTCATGAATGTATCGAATTTATTTTCCACCTGTATAAAATTAGTTATGGCACGAATAACAAGCCCTGAAAATTTCATCGGATTCACAAAGAAAAAAAAAGTAGATGAGAAAAAAACACCTAAAATGAAGTTTTGAAAAAAACGACATTCTGTTACATAATAGACAAAATGAAAGTTCTAGGTCAGAAAATCTGAAAGATGGTGATTGTAACACAAAGAATAAACACTTTTTAGATTTACAAGTGATTGGAGTATTATAAAACATACAAAAATCCGGAGACAATAAAACGACAAAAAATCGCCAATTTAAAACCAGCCTTTACATAATCAACGAATCACCCCTTAAAAAGGTAACTCTAAACAAATTCACAGTTTCTGAGAGTGTTTGTTTTTTCCCTATTACTTTTTCCGACCCGTAATCCACTGTGGTAAGGCTCTGCGTATGATGAGTCCAAAGGAAAATAGGGCTAAGTCATGCAATGGAAATCAAAAGAAAATCAACCGTAAAAGCTTTCTCAGACTCAGATTTTGTCCCTGTTCGACTGTTGGCTTATTATTTTTGACACAAGTTTGAGGCACTGAGGTGAAATCAGGCCCTTGTCAAAATAATGGAATTTAAAAAATCAAAATTTTTACCTATTTGGCAATTTTTATCAATTTTTTTTCTCTTTTGTTGTGGGCTCAACATGTTTTATGTCCACTTTCTTTAAAACACATTCTTGCTTGGATTTTAGTGAAAAACATTGATCAAAGTCATACACATGTAAACTGTAGTTTCCAAAAAACACTA